AAAACAAATGTATTGAAAAATGACACTGGGTGACATAATTGTAATGAAATTTCAGGCGGTCTACTTTTTAATTCAGCAAGAATTATTAGTTATTTTTAATTCTGCAATGATTTCTTTTGTCTTGGGTGGCCTAACTGCCGGCGTTGAAAGTCGTGTGGGTGGATTATTTAATGAAAATAGAAGTACCCAAAAAATATTTGATGATTATTTTTTGAAATTTTGAACCCCAAATAAGCGCCCACTAGCCGTGAAATTGCCCAGGGCGATTTTTCGGATGGGTGAATTTACGGCAGAATCCGGTACTAGTATACGCGGGGAGGGAGTCCAGTGAGGGAACAGCCTGCAACCCTTTTATGGGGAAAACGTGAAATCTTGACGGATTTGTTTCGTTCTCACATGCAATTAGGTTTTGCGGGCTTCTGAGTTCAAAAAAGATGACCAAAATCAACCAAAAAGCAAGCGAAATGGAAAGACAAGCGTTATGTTACTATGTTGTCATCAGTACACATGCCGATTTGGAAATTTGTTGGCCTATCCCGGGGATCCGGAAAACCAATTGTGAAGCCTTTGTGGGTTGTTTATTACAACAAAAATATGGGAGGTGTGGATCTTTCAGACCAGATGATCAGATCGTACACGATGCATCGCCGACATTCAAAGTGGTATATCAAGCTTTTTTTCCACCTGATAGCTCTTCTTGTCACTAATGCCTACATCCTTCACAGGAAGTTCAGTGCCAAGAAGCTAACTCACGCTAAATTTCGTTTATCCATTGTTCATGATCTTGTTTCTAGTGCAACCACTGCACCCATCCCAGCACCGAAAGGGCGAAGATCAGTTGGTCAGCCACTAAGACGACTCGAAGAACGCCACTTCCCCTCACCCATCCCCGCTTTCCCTGGTAGTAAAAAACAAAACCCAACTCGCCAGTGTGTAGTTCACAGAGCCTACTACAAAAAGCATCAAGATGGCAAGCGTCCACAAGAGAGTCGCGTGTGGTGCCGCAAGTGTGAAGTCGCCTTATGTACATACCCATGCTTTGGGATTTATCACAGCAGACGTCACTTTGATGCAGTTGATCCAACAGATTTCAATTTTGATACCTAATTCCTTACTCACTTAGTATTGTGTGCATCTGTGGTCTGCATTTTTATTGAATAATTTCTATATTGAAATTTTGTCTTGACTTACCGGTACCTGCAATTCTCTAATTTCCACTACTGCATGCTGAAGCTCATTAGCTTGTTTATTATATATACACATATTTGAAAACACAAGCAACTACTACAAATAAATTGATCTAGTTGCAATTGTAAATAAATAATTATCCATGAATGCTTTTCACAGCTTTCGTAACAAATGAGATTT